TTATTAAGCCTTTATCATCATTAATTTTTTTGATTCAATAGTCGCAAAACAATCTTTTAGTTTTTTCTTTTTTCACACCAACATTTAATATATGCTGGGTTGGTTGTTAGTCGTAATTTTCTAATTCTGCTATACATCAGGACTGGGACTTCATCAATAAGTTCGTCAACCACTGGTTTGCATAAATAAACGACGTTAATTTAGGTCGTATTATCAATTAATCCTGAAAAGCACGGATGCGGAAGGTGAATTATTCTTCCTCTGCGTTTATTATAGAATCAACTTTTTTGAAAATATCATTCCCCAACGATGCAAGATGCGAAATAAAATGTCTTTCTTATTACAATTTTCAGAATGACGTCAACTTTTATCTCTTTAATGAGACTACTGTAGTATATTCTAATAAATTACGCTAAATAAGTTATGTTAGAAAAGTTTTGTCAACAGCATAAAAATATTTCTATTAAATATGGAGTTAATAAATAATTAAAATAACCTGCCGCATTCTTTTAAATTTTTCAATATATAAATAACACAACATATTTATTGCAACTTGGCAACCCTAACGCATTTGTGACAATTAAAAATTATATTTGCCATAAAAAAAAGTAATAATTTTTCAAAAACAATCACAAATTTTTCGTTTTTAAAATGCAGGCCTAGAAGGTAAATAATTAAATAAAATTTTAAATTAAATTTTAATAAATATATTTTCCTTTTTTTTTATCAAACCCGCTTTATACCGGTATAGGATAGGGTAAACCTAATATAATTTCTCTACCATGGAACGATATCAAATCTTACTCTTTATTTTTCTGGGGGTACAGTACGCTTCCTTCACTAACTAGCACTTCATTCTCAAATAAAATCATCAGTCTACTACTATTTGGTTTCTTTTCTAAAGTAAATATCAGTGACCTTAAGGTTTCTATTTTGGTAGCTTCATCATCATCAGTCTACTACTATTTGGTTTCTTTTCTAAAGTAAATATCAGTGACCTTAAGGTTTCTATTTTGGTAGCTTGTTGAAGCTGCTTGTACTGAAGGTTTGCTATTTTATAATAATATCCAACCTGCAGTTCAGCCTTT